CACGATGGCCCAATTGTCCATCTTTGGTCTATTTGATCGATCGAACGCCACCGACCTGATCGTATCAATCGATTATCCTTCATCTATCGCCCACCCAATACATACCTGATTGGCCATCTTTGGTTAATTAGATTGACAATCCTTCATCAATCAGTCGCCCACGTCGACCTGATCGACTGTCTTTGGTCTATTAGATCGATCAGCAACCGTCGACCTAATCGTATCGATAGATCATCCTTCTTCGATCTACAGCCCAAGTCGATCGGATCGACCGTCTTCAATCTATTTGATCGATCGGCTGATACTGGCCTGATCGTATTGATCAACCATCCTTCATTGATCAGCTGCCCATGCTGGCAAGATCAACCATCTTTGTTCTATTTGATCAACCAGCCACCATAGGCTCGATCGCATCGATCGAACATCATTCATCAATTGGTTTTCTATGTAGGCCTGATCGATCATCCTCAATCTATTTGATTGTTTGTCTACCATTGGTCTGATCATATCCATCAATCATCCATCTACTTCAGTTCGATCGATCTCCTCCATTGCTCCGACCCGTCGGTCGCCAACGGCTTGATCATGTCGATCGATTTCATTTGAGTGTTGTATTATTGCATGTTTATGTCATTGCCTTCATTAGCATATCCGCACTTGCACCTCATCGTACAACGGTGAGCATATGCCTCAGATGCTCATAGTGGGCGTTTGTGCCCCCTTTTGGGCACGATATTTCATGCCCGTTCCTTGACATTTCCCTATGTCGTAGTGCAACATGGACCGTATGTTTGCACTCCTGTTTGTACACCTTCAAATGTTTTCTTGCATAGCATATTATATGTTTTCATTTCACTCATGTGTCTTTCTCAAGTTACAGCTCCTCACACACTCACCCTAGACACACATGTGTCTTTCTTGAGTCACTACTCCTTGCACACTCATGTCTGACACTCATGTGTCAATCCCGAGTCACAACTCCTCACCCACTCATCTTGACACTCTTGTTTCTTTCTCGTGTCACTGCTCCTCACACACTTACTCCCAACAATCATGTCTTTTTCGAGTCACTACTCCTCACACATTCACTTCCGACACTCTTGTGTCTTTCTTATGTTGCTACTCCTCACTTATTTCCTACACTCATGGGTCCTTCTTGAGTTACTGCTCCTCATAAACTCTCTCACCTCCTAAGACACCGCTTTAGACTATCGTAGGCATCCTTCTTGAGTAACTGCTCTCGCACACTCATTGTCAACACTCATGTGCCCTCTTTGGGGACGGTGTGGATATCATGCCTGCCCTGCATGTGATTCTCCCTAGCGAGAAGAACACCACTTCGGTTGTGTATAATGTGTGCATATCACTACACCCTTGGCGCATTCGTGATTGGCATACACCATCGTATACTTAGGATGAATGTTTACTAACTTGTGATCATTCCTGTCTCGATGGAGTGGTCACCACGCATTGGATCACCTTGCATATGCATTTGCATTCATGATTGTCTCAACAACAAAGCTAGCTCGTTAGCTGAGTGACCCTTTGTTGGTCACGACATGACTGTTATTATTGCCCATTGATCTTGATATTTTTTATATGTAAGGATTTATAAAGTTGACACCACTACTTAAAAATTTTAATCCCTGGCAACGATGCCAAGAACTTGATCCCTCACAATTTTTTAATCCAACAATACAACAATATAATTGATTATATTTTTCACTTATCCTTTCTTACTTTGTAACAATACTAAAAACTTGATCCTGGGAACTTGATCCCTCACAATTTTTTAATCCAACAATATAACAATATAATTGATTATATTTTTCACTTATCATTTCTTACTTTGCAACAATACTAAAAACTTGATCCTGAAGAAAATAAAAAACTAACTTCTTAATATATATATATATA